CATTAAAAAAATTACGTCCCTCACCTTTAATAAATATTGAAGAGGCATTAATCTTGTATCAGTTATATTATAATTATAATTATTATTATTATTATGTTGTACAATTTTATTATCGTTGATATTAATTAATAAATAAAAAAAAAGTTATTGTTAAAAACATCACGTGATGATCATCAATTACCTTGGTTACCGGATACCTCGTTATAACGGACCATTGAGGCCAAACCAATATGTCCGTTATAACGAGGTTCGACTGTATGTTACAAATTCCGTACCCTATTCCGTACCTTATTATACGGAATCAAAAAGTACCTTTTCAGTATTAGTATTAGTATTAGTATGTTGCAAATTCCGGACCTATTCCGTGCCTTATATGTGGAACCAAAAATGTACCTTTTCAGTATATTATAAAATATACGGAATCAAAAAGTATGTTACAAATTCCGTGCCTTATATGCAGAATCAAAACGTACCTTTTCAGTATTATTATTATAATTTTCCTAATTCCGTACATTTTCCGTACATTTTCCGTATACATTCATAAATTGCATTACATTGATAAATTTCAAAACGTAGATTAATTACGTCCATTCCGTATCTAAAAATTTATTCCATATCAAATATAGGGAAATTCTTATACATTCCGTATGTTTATTTTCTATAGGGTATAGTCAACTGTATTAAAATTATTCTATTTCTTTAGGAAAATAATAAAAGTATTTAAAAGTATACATCAATTATATAATAAATTTAATTTCTAAAAACATAAAAAAAGGAGTATCATTTAAGGTGGGTACCAAGGTGAGGAAGCTACTGAAAGCTTTGCTTGTTTAATTTTAAAGCATTCGATTTCTTCAGAACTCATCTCATTGAAAAAATCATGAATTTGTCCTACATCTGACTTATTCACTTCTCCTAAATGATGGATTTTTTTCTGCTTGAACTAGGTATCATAATATCTTGATTTTCTTCAACATACATCATGTTACCAGCCGAAACTCTCTTTATTAGTAGCTGAAATTGCTGGAATACTTTGGACAAAAATTACTTTTTTATAAGCCCAAACCATTTTTTGTTATTAGCCGAAATTGGGCAAAATTACTTTAAGGTTGTTTAAATTAAAATAAGTTGATTGATATAGTTTTTAATGTTCATGTTTATAAAAATGCTGAGAAGCCCAAATTGCCCAAATTAGTTTGGGCTTTGAGAAAACAGTTTGGACCAGAAACCTTAATGTTACTACCTTCCATTTCAATATTCAAAGCTTGGTTAACTTCTTCAAATACCTCACATACCACACTGCTGTTTCTGCTGTTAAGTTCACTATTTCACCATTAGACAGACTTTCTGTAATTGCATAGTTGACATATTCATTTTCACTTCCCCAAATCAAAACCCATTTGTCATTCAAACCTGTTAAAACTCCAAGTGGATGAGAATGATTTGATGGTGTGAACATAATATCTGCAGAGATAAATTGTACAATAGCTTGATAAATATTGTTGGACTGAAAACTAGAGTTCAAAAAAGTATCAAATTTTAGTCATTGAATATATATACCATAGCTTAATATAGATAACAAATGACATGATAAAGCTTACTTTGGCTTTAATTCTATGGTTGCAACCAGTTCAGGTTGTGGTAGCATTATTGCTGCCTTTGGAATAATCATTACATCTGTTGTTCCACAAAGATGGTGAGGAAGTCCACATCGGGAGGCATTCATTTTACCGACAATCATTTTACCGACAGTTCATTTTACCGACAACACACGGTGCGCCATTTAACCTCCACATATCAAACAACAAATAAAATGCTAAAATGGCGCGCCGTGTGTTGTCGGTAAAATGACTGTCGGTAAAATGATTGTCGGTAAAGTAATACGTACCCGTCCACATCAACATCAAGCAAGTGAGGTGGTGCTTCCATTATTTTGAGGTTGTTATAATTTGGAAATAGGATTGTCTGGATGTAGGTCAGATATGCCTTTTTGTTTGATGGTGATGTTTCTGGTAAAAGATTTCCACTTTCATCATGCTTCCATTCAAAACATTCAGTCAAACTGGGTATAGTAGTATTAGGATATTTCATGACAGCTGCACAAATCTGAATACTTCTTCAAGAATTGTATATGTAATGGTTAAAATTGAAACTATCCTTGCCTTCTTTGACATCTTTTCCAACTCGGAAATTTTTCCTAAAGTCAGACAATAAAAAAAATTATGAGAATTGAAAGAAATACAGGAAGTTGCATAAGTGTCAGATTTACCTTTCAAGCCTTTCAATTGTTTGAGAAGTATGAATAAGGAAACACATTGATATCAAAAGCAGACATGTAAGAATAGAAAAGAATTTAGTGTGGAAGCATACCAAAATATCTAAAATATACAAATATTCTAACTGAATAATTATTTTATGACAATTGTTCTTTTACCTGATTCTTTAATGGATTGAAGATGAACAGAAAAATAAAAAAGTTGATTAAGGATAAAATTGATGGATGGATAAAGATTGTGTATTTAATTAATAACAAAATAATAAATAACCAAAAAAAAGCAAGAGTTAATTAAACTCATAAATAATATACCAAATAATTACTCAAATGGATAAATAAATAAATGAAATGCAATGAATGGAAAATAATTTTTTGTATATTTTTTTATGCAATTTGTTTGTTACCTTCCCCTTTTCCAAAATCAAAATCAAACTAAAGCTTTTTGCAAATACTCCACATGATCACTTATCATTCATATTTTTTGTCAATTCCTCTTCTTTTTTTTCTAATCTCATCTTCTCCATCTTCTCTTCTTCATCAAGATCTTTTCTTCTTGCCTTTCCCCTCAACTCTTCCAATCACCACCCACCATTTTCTCCTTCCTCCTACTTCCTCAACTCTGCTTTTTTTCTAATTTCATGATTGTGGCCATTTTAGATCGTAATTGTTTATAAATAATTTGGACCAATGGTAAATTAGTGGGCACATGATTCATTACTAGAAATTTTTAAAGTGGCAAGCAACTTCTTTCTCACCAAATATGTAGAGATGGGCATTATGCAACTTTTCAAACACATATGATTCAATTGTTGATAATTTTTTTGTGAAGATAATTTTAAAGCTGGTCTAATTGAATAAAAAATATCACAAATTGGTTTTAATTCAGAAAATGAAAAATTCCACAACAAAAAATAGCAGTTACAAATAAAATTTGAATTCTTGTTGCTCTGCAGAAGAAATTCTATCAATAAAATTAATAATTGAGGTGTTAACTAGATGAGTTGCATGAGATAAAGAAGAAGAAGAGAAGTAGAGGAAGTAGAATTCTCAGATTGTGATGACTGTGTAATTATATTTTGATTTTGTTGAAAAATATTCATCAAGTACATGATGTGAAACTTTGGTATATTTCTTAAGGTGTTGTTCACAGTGATTTGC